CCCCCCCCCCCCCCGGACCGGGGCCCTTCGGACCTTTCCAAGATGCCGCGGCCGCGGCGGAGGTCCCCTTAAGGGGTTCCCCGGTGCCCGGGAGTTGTTTTTTTCCCCCCCCTTGTTTTTCGCTTTCATCGTCGTCTAGTAGCAGATCTACGAAGTTGTCGCTGCCCGCTTTCCCGCTGCCACTGCCGCCGCCACCTCCCCCCCCTTTGGTTGTTCTTTGCTGCTGCTGTCCCCGTTGCGAGTTGTCTTGCGAGTGGCATCGCCGATGATTGGGCGGTGCTTGTAGGCGGGGACTGCTGTTGTTGATGTTTTGTTTTTTCCCGAGCCCCATGTGAAAACGAAAGCGCGTGAGAGGGGAGGGGGGGGGGGGGGGGGGCGGTACGATTCGGAAACTCAAAATACGGTTGCAACAAAACCGTAGATTCCTACATTATACCTGGAAGGAAGTACGTGTTGTGTTGCACCAGACATGCCGGTTTCCCGGGGCTCCGCTCTTACCCATACAAGAAACCTTCAACGGCAAAGGCGTTACGGTATTACATCTGGCGATGACACAAAACGGGGCACGAGCCCCTGTATGCAGGGCAACTCACACCCATGTGGTGAACGCACTCCAGCCGTCACCAGTGCTTGTTTACGGCGACAACCAACACACCAACCCTCTTTCGTGGGTTTCATGTCGTGGGTGGAACAACGGTGAGTATTCTCCCGAGAGAGAGGTAATATTTGCGGTTTCGCGAAAGCGTCGGGGGACAAAAAGGTGGTGGTGGAACGTACTACACTGTTTGTTTCATTTGATCAACGAACTGAACGTCGTCTTCGGTTTTCTAACGAATTTCGTGCAATTTAACGGTTGTTTGTCACCGGCGGCAGTATACGTAAATGTGGTGGTGGGGGTGGGGGTGGTACCCGCGTCAGCTACATGGTGGAGGCGTCTTGCTCGTTGCTCTTGGTTTCTGTGACCAAGGAACTCATTTCTGTATCTAAGGATCCGGTGCGGGATAGGATATTTTTGGCGGCACTGAGAGTGGATGCGGACGAAACAGGCTACCAAGATCGAAACGACAGCCGCGGGATGGATCGTTTGAGCAGTTGCAGGTTGTTGCAAGTTGTTGAGAGGCAGACCTTTCGAACAGCTTTTGCAAGCATGAGTCGACACGCCGTGAGTGTATAGCATGTTGCTGGCTTTGCACCGGGATAAGTTCGCTTCTGTCTGCACCTGTCGTTTCAAAACCAAGTCTATCGGCGCTCCTGAAGCACAAAATGCTATACTCAACATCACAAAGTGGCAACGGGTTGCGGAAACAAAAAAAACGCCCAGATAAAAGCGTTCCCCCAAGGCATCTGTCACCTTGGGTGCTGTTCTTCTCTCCCCCTCCTCCTCCCCCTCGTCTTCGGCCAGAGTCGCGCCGCCAGCCCCCCTCTGTTGGTGTTGGTGTTGCTGTTGACCCTTGTCCTTCTTCTTCCGGGAGGCGGCGGCCTTCTTCTTGCCGGCGTTGAGGTTCATCGCCGACTCAAAGCCCACGAGTTTTCCCACCTTGATTCGAAACAAAAGGAGTGCAGAAATAGACAATCATCGACCACAGAGAGCACACCAGCGTCCGGAGAGAGAGAGGGGGGTGGGGGGGGGGAGCGAGAGAGAGAGAGAGAGAGAGAGAGAGAGGGAGGGAGAGAGAGAGAGAGAGAAAGAGGGAGAGCGTGTATGCCTGTCAGAGGAAGCGAGCCCTCGTCTGCCCCACCAACTTTGTCGCCGACAGGAGGTGTGATCGAGCCAAGTGAGTCGCGGGGGAAGGTCTCGCTGTGCGGTCGGCAGGAGGACGAAAAATGTGTAAAGCACTCGTCAAAAAGAGGGCGACGAGTAATTTTTTGCACTCGACGAGAACCAACAGGAGCACGTCAGGAAACAACTACGAAATGAAGCAGTTTTTCTATCGTCGTTCGTGGCGGAAGAAACAAAGCAGTAGAGCCAAATCGTCATCCGTGTGACATGCTTGCGTCAAGCCTGCGCGGCAACACAAAGGTGCAGAGCTTTCCCGGCTGCAACAAATCTACGGTCATGGTGCAGGCTTTGATCTTTTCCAGGAAGAACGATCCTGGCGCGCAGTAACAACCCGGCCCCATACAACAAGCCCGCCTCGCGGCACTCGACAACAGGTTTGCGCGGTCGCATATACAGGGTCGCTACAATCACCCCACCATCTTTTGCGGTGGTGGTAAAGCAGTTCACAACTAGACTTACGCCACTATCGCCAACGAGAAACGTACCAACATGAAACCCTGGGTCATCTCGCGGGGCGCTTGACAGAAAGTCGGTATACTGGTGTACCCTTCCAAAAAATACTTTATAGCAACAACAAATTATCCCTACAGACAGACAGTAGTACTCCGCATACGCACGGCGCTGCGCTATCGCCTCAAGTCAAACGCACGAGCTTCGGGTCCTTCCTTGCGGCGCACTTGACGTCATCGACGCCGACGACGGCTCTCTTGCCGTGCTTGGCGAACACGCGCAGGTCCAGCGCCAGGGACTCGGAGAACTTGAACACCACCTGCTCAACGGGCGATATGTTGTTGTTGTTGTTGTTGGTGGTGGTGGTGATGGTGATGGTGATGGTGGTGGTGGTGGTGTTCAGATGTTTTTATTGTTCTGCTGTTACTGTTGGTGGTGTTGCTGTTGTCGTTGTCGTCGTCGTATGCTGTTGGGGTATGCGATTTGCACATACCAGAGGAGTTGTAGATCGACAGGGGTCAAATCAAGAAAGCTAAAGGTGCATGGCACGGTTAAACGCGCCGCGCAATCACGGCAACAGCAGTAGCTAAGCGTACACGGAGAATGTGGCGGTTGAGACCGTGTCCAACATTCCTTTTGATTGCATAGAAATCTTCGCTGTTGAAGATCCCTCCGATGTTTGCTTTTCTAAATGAGATGAGTATGCATCGCAAAAGGGTGCGAGAAGAGAAAGAGGATAACCAAATGCATCGCCATCCGCAGAAGAGACACCCAAAAAATACCCTTTGATGGACCGAGTGCGGGGTTGTAATGAGATTTGACCCCATCCTTTAAGCCTTTGGGCTGTGTGACCTCTCTTGTCCGACCACAGATGTCCAATCGTTCGTTCTCTCCTCTTGATTAATGTTTTCCCGTTGTCTTCCAACGCAGCTCAAGCCGACGCACACAGATCCCAAGCGAACACTGAACAGAAAGGCACACCCGAATCTTTCATGACGTTACGTCATAGAACCTGATATCGCCAAATAAACATGGTCAAGCACGATCACATGTCTACCTCCAAATACCGCAACAAGGATGTGTGCGACGCTCGATCGCGACGGCTATTGCTACGAATAGTGTTGCCGTGTTGTTCCGCAACACGTGGCCGATCCCCTTTGCTATTCATGAAAGACGTTGTGACTCTTCAGGCAGCGGTCGGCACCAAGGTAAGGTCAAAAGGAGCTTACCGCAGGAATAGGTAAAAAAATCATGATTACAAGAATATGCATAGTGCGTGAAAGCACGACCAGAGATATGGGACCATCCAGACATTTTCCAGCCTTGAGTAGCAGAAATTGTCCGCGTTTTTGTGTGATGTCGTTTGTGCGAGAGAAGCCCCCTTTACCGGAGAGGAAATACCATGTGTGCGCGGGTGGGGGGTGGTTTATTCCATCATTCATATATATTTTTGAAATTTTGAAAACAGGAGTCAATCGTCCGCATCTACGCGGGCCATACCTCCGCCAAGGTAGATACCGCGCTGCCTGTCATCGCGATCTTCCCGTTCTCGCCACTGCAGACCTCGCCCACGCTGTAGTGCAGCGCCGCCCGAAGCGCGAGCTCGTCCTCGTGGCTGTTGCTGTCTCTGTCTCCGCCCTCCTGGTCCGCCCGAGGCTCCAGGCTGAACTCGTCGTCTGAAACCGCACCATCCATCACGCACGGCCCGTGCGGTAGGGAGGTGCTTTCGAACACTGGCAAAGCCAAGGGAATGGGGGAGAGCAGAGAGCAGCGCAGAGGCTCAGCGACGATGGGTAGGGCAACGCAGGGCCCGCGGGAATGGCCAGACAGAGAGAGACAGTCTGGGGGGGGGCACGCGAAGGAGATTCATGTATGGTATGCCGTCGCGGCAGCGCAGCTATTGCACCGCACCACAACGACACCGGGATCTGTGCACAACACACACACTTGCACAGGCAGCAGCGAGGAGCGCGCTTACCCGTAGCATGCAAACAGCTGCACACCTCAATACAGACTGCGGATTTTTCTCGTCAAAAGCAACCGGTTTCTGCTCCTATCCGATCCCTGGCCGATCAGCACTGCGGCTGTGAAGAGATCACTATCGGCCCGCGCACACGAGACGTCATTGCTGTACATTACATAGTACAACCGCCCGTGCAACATGAGGTCCTGTACCACCGGCAGCTACCATCTCCTGCAACGATTAGCCGGCGGAAGCAGCAACCAAGCACCATTCAACGCAGCAGCAGCAGCATCGTTATCAGTGATGCATGGTTCTCGCAAACGACTGTCCTCGTCGGGGACCTGGGACCTATATCGCAAATATGCGGATTCGCCGGAGGACCTCGTTGAGCTAATGCGGAGGATCGTGAGCAGAGGAGGGAGGGGCAGGAAGCAGGACAACGTGCCGAAGGAGGTGAGGCACGGGCGATGCTACGCACGTGGTGTGCGCCGCTTGTTCTGTTGGCCTTCGTGTGTGTTCCGCGTGAAGACGTGTGCTTTTATGCGAAAGAGCGCATCACGCGGTGCGGCTCGTACATGCGGAAAGATCCGCCTACAGCAGTAGAGCTACGCTACAATAGAGTTTTACCATCGGGCAGGGTCAGGCCTGTTGATGTACAGTCTCCGTGTGTGCAGATTTGTGGGCTCAAATGCAGAGGCGGTGGGCGCGACTTAGCGCTGGTTCCAGGTTGCTTCGTCTTCTGTTGTCGTGAACGGAGCTGCATGTAGAGGTGGGTGACAAAGAAGGTGCATGTTTGTCCGCCCCTGGCCCATGCAGTTTTAGAGGCCGCAACCAAAGCTGTAAGTAGGCAGCGCGAGCACCACCACTTTTGCACCACCCTCTAATGGCCATACCCAACTTGGGTGGAGTAGTCTTTTCCGGTGTTGCAGGGTAATTAATGCCTTGATCCGGGTAGCCCATCGACAAAGGTTGCAAGGGCCATCTACCCGACACCTAGGACAACCGCATGTACCATCTCCCCGAGATCAACCCCAGGAATTCGGCCGGATGTTCCAGACAAAACTCGAAAGCGTAGGGACAAGTTGGCCGCCGGATCATCTTCGCCAAAAGCTGGGAATGCTTCCGAAGAGTAGCGTGATGACGAGCCTCCCAACAATTGCATTGACCTATACGTGGACGACCAGGTGCATTTGAACGCTTTCCCCACTCCAACTGCTGTCCGACACAACTTGCTACATAATTCGGACGTTTTTTCTCACCACTGGTGTGTGATGCGCTTACTCTGTTGGTGTGCTTGTAGGTGGTTAAGGTGTTCTGCGGGCGATACTCGCAGCTGGACCAAGCCGGCAAAGAGGACCTCTTGCTGAGCATGGCCAGGTGAGAGGAGATAGACCGGCCCACCTTGCCTGCAAGCACTGGGGCATGACTGACATCGCACCGCGTGTTATGGAAAGAGAAAATATTTAATTGTCGACTGTCTTGAACCACAAGAGGAAGCTTTACACAAACGAAGGGTTTTGTTCCGGCAACCCCGTCCCTCCCTCGACACCCGTACCCCGAAACGCACAACTTGCTCAGGGACTTCACGCCAAGTCGCGAAAGCGTGGAGGCGGCCGTGGACCGGTACGCTGCTTCGGTTTCGTCACCTGCGGAACCCCCCGCGGAGCCTCCGGCGTTGGCCGCCGGTGCCGGGGCGGCCGACGGAGTAGGTAAGCGGTGGGTTTCGCGCCGTCCTGTAAGCGCCGATGGTGTTCTCGACGGAAAAAACGGTGGTGTGTGTGGCGGTCGTCCGGACATGCGCTGGAAGAAGGACAGCGAGAAGACGAGCCGGATAAATAGCGTCCGGTCTATGTGGGATGTTCTCGATTTTTTCAGGACAGGCGCCTGTTCCCTTCCACTAGCTCGCCCCTTTTTATTTTACTTTGACGACAGACGCCTGTTCCCTACATGGATCCCCCCCTTTGAAGTCTTCTTCCTCCCACAACGTGTGTGTGTGATTCTACCCGTGGCGCAGATGAAGAGGGCAGTAGCGGGCGGCCACAGCAACCAGGGGTTGGCGGTGACTCGACGGAGTCGTCCGGGCGGCTGGAGCGGGGGCGGCACGTGAGAGCGTACGAGCGGCTGCGAGAGGAGCTGTCTCCGGCGTACGAGGCGTTGCTCAAGAACGTGGTGGCGGAGTCCGACGACGGTGTACGGTTCGTCGTCGACCTGAGACAGGTATCGCACGTGGATAGCTAAATAGCAACTACCAGAACGAGGTCGTTTTTGCGGCTTTCGGGTTTTCTCTGTTATCGTGCAATATGGAATGGCTTTTACGTGCAGCAGACGCTCATGATGCGGGAACCTACAACAGTCCCGTTGTATGTAGTTTTTTAGGCAACGTGCGTGGTCGCGCACGAAATAGCGCACTGCTTGTGGAAACACCGTGCGGTAAATGATGACCTGCACACGAAAGCGAATACGTCGTGGTAAATGGCCTCGTGATAGGAAGCGCGTTCAGCGGTGGGGATTGTGCCTACCGTAAAAAAAGCGTGTTACAACGTTTTATGTGCACTCGCCGCGTATCCAGCAGCGGCGGGCAGCGGCAGAGCCTACGACTGAAACAGAGCCGGTTATCCTGTAAGCGGCGTGTACACAAAACGCTGCACCACGCTTCCGAAAGGTAAACGCAATCCCATCGCCGGTGTGTGTCGCTTTCCGACGTCCCCTTCGTTGTTTGTACGATGGGTTTGCTGGCCGTGCTTCCTCAACGGTATCATGGAAGAGAGACAGCACCCCATGTGTGGACAACAACGAACGACGCGTTTATGATGAAGGAGTTGTGCGGCGTACTTTTTTTTTGGGGGACCAAGAACACGCGTCACAACTCTCCTACGCCACAAACGCGTCGCTTGTTGTTCTCCGCGCATTCGGTGCATTGTTTTTGTGCATTGCACCCTAGAGAAAGCACGCCCATCAAACCCCGCACTCTGAACAACGAGTGGGGGGGTGGGACAGCGGCGTGCATCGGCGATAGCAATAGCAGCAGCGGCGCCGGCTACATACGAAATGTATTCGACTCCAATCTTACGGACAAATACTATTTTTCTGATGAGTGTAGTTGAAAATTTGTTGTGAAAGCGCAAGGGCGGCGGGTAACCTGGTACTTTGCATATGGCCAGGAACATGCCTCCGGAACGGAGAGTAGTACCCAGGCCGTGAAAAACCTACACAGCGTAGCCTACGAACCTAGGGGATCACCGAACGTATTGATATACCGAGGTTATTGTTGAACACGACGCCGAAATCAACCAGATTAAACTATATCTCGAAAGCCCAACGCACTGCAGGCTTATTGACAGACTCGATGCACTTTAGTAAACAGTACCTTGGGTGTTGTGAGGGTTTGACCGTTGTTTCAACATACTCGAATGAAATGACATTGACGGAGGGTTCATCCATCTACCGAACGTAGGGAGTGCGGGCGAGCACATTTGTGGTATGCCTTGGTCGGTGGAACATTGGCAAGGAAGTAGCGGGCAATCACTGCCACGTGGTTGAAAGCAACAATTTGTTTTTGACCTAGGGCTGACTTGGGAGCAGACACGCCGAGATAAATAGCTGTTAATCGTCTATCTCCTCTCTGCCATCTGATTTGTTGCAGGCTGTTGGTGGCAATAGGACTGGCTTGGGAGCAGACACGCCGCGATAAATAGCTGTTCATCGTCTATCTCCTCTCTGCCATCTGATTTGTTGCAGGCTGTTGGCGGCAGTGAGAAACAGGTGGCGGCGGCCTATGCTTATTGCCTACCTTTAGTCGTTCGACCATCGGCCACGGGAATTGGTCATGATAAGGCCCTTTATAACACTTCTCCCATCTGTGACACACATGCATTTGTTGCTGGAACCAATGGTTGAAACGAACGAGAGGGAAACGTAGCAAATAATTTTTGTTCTTTTCTCTCGTGGTCTTGGTTCTGACCTCGCATTCTATCTGCACAAGACCATTCCTATGGTTTCCTTGTGGCCACATCAAGCTCTGCACGCCCCCGTTTCCTCCCTTCCCTTGCTTGATCATTGCGCCCCTTTCCCGCCCTGTCCTCTCTTTGCATGGTAAGGCATCATCTCGGAGCCACGGGCCGTGATATCTACCTCTTGCATCCCACGTGCCGAACCGAAAAAATGACTTGTTTTTCCGGCTTTTTGCTCCCTCCCTTGCACCCTTGTTGCGTGCGAACGAAGGATCTGCTGGAAGTCATGCGGAGGGAGCGACGGCGGCCGGGGGCGGGGGAGGGAAAAGCGGCGGGGCCGGACCCCCTACTTTCGGCACTGGACGGGTCCATCCGATCCCTGCTGCAGGCGTGGTTCAGCGTCGGGTTCTTGGAGCTACGGAGGATAACTTTCGAAGACTCTGGCGGGGCCCTCCTGGAGAAGATTGCCCGGTAAGGTGTGGTCGAGGCTCTTCGTATGCTTCCGGGAGCGAGGGCCCACTGCTGTTAACGTTTTTTGGCACTGTATGCTCTTCGTACGCCGCCGGAAGCGAGGATCCACTGTATGTATATTTCTTAGCCCCCCTACTCACACAAAGCAGCAACTATCAATTCTCCCCTCCCGGCACAAAGACGGAGTGTACCACGATGCCCCGGATCGCACATGCACGCACGTTTCCTGTCCTCTAGATTTTATCTCGCGTTTCTAGCGCCTCTCGCGTTGCGACAATAAGTCTCTCCTGCTTGCTTGTTTTTTTTAGGGAAAACGACACAACAGGGTATACCCTGGTCGAAAAGCGACACACCTGGGTACACAGTCATTAACAGCAGTAAATGCATTCATATGATTGGTCAGCGCCCAATTTCACCCCGGTACGTCCGAAAAGGCGCAGGGTATACCCTGCTGTGTCTACTTTTCTCACCAACTGTACCCTGTTTTCGGAAGTGTACCCTGACCTGACGGGAAATAAGACCCATTCATCAATTATTTCCCCCGCAGGAATCTTCCCAACTCCTTTTCCTCTCCAGCCATGGGGTACCAAACGGCGAATCTTCCCACCCAACCACAACCATGGCAACGCGGCAGGAATCAGTTTCCGCCCCTGCCAAACAGCACCAACCATCAACTCTTCCGCTCTAAATCAACAATGGCCGGGCACTACCCCAGCACAGCAGTTGTTCCGTTTGGAAACATGCACACACGTACGTGTACAATACCCCGTGCACCACTGCTTGCTGCAGTCTATCTATATGCGACATGCACGGGTCACGCTACGAAAGCGAGACCAATCCAGCATGGTTGACATGCATATATATGCATGTATGTGCCCATGATGTGTGGCGCTGCGCTGAGCGGGCGGAGGAGAGAGGCAGCAACACCACACACAGACACGCCCTTGACATCAATCATGGAAGGAGGAGCGAGTGCTAACAACTCTGGCAGCAGGACTGTGTCGTCCAACTCAATCACCCTCCCTGTGCTCGCGGTGTATTTCATCGGCTCATCCCGCTGAAGCCTGACGTCTTGTTACTACATACATTGATTGGTTGGTCGGCTTCGTCGGCTGGTAAGCGCGACCGCTGCTGTTACAGCAGTAGTAGTAGTTCAAGCAAGAAACACATCGCAATTGAGACACAACAGACAACACACCCACGCACACACGGCACAGGCAGGAGGGAGTGGCGGCGCCCAACGTTACCCGTGTAGTGCTGTGGACATACATGCATAAATATATATATGTGCATGTCAACCATGCTGGATCGGTCTCGCTTTCGTAGCGTGACCCGTGCATGTCGCATATAGACTGCAGCAAGCAGTGGTGCACGGGGTATTGTGCGCGTGTGCATGTTTCCAAACGGAACAACTGCTGTGCTGGGGTAGTGCCCGGCCATTGTTGATTTAGAGCGGAAGAGTTAATAATGGTTGGTGTTGTTTGGCAGGGGCGGAAACTGATTCCTGCCGCGTTGCCATGGTTGTTATTGGGTGGGAAGATTCGCCGTTTGGTACCCCATGGTTGGAGAGGAAAAGGAGTTGGGAAGATTCCTGCGGGGGAAATGATTGATGAATGGGTCTTATTTCCCGTCAGGTCAGGGTACACTTCCGAAAACAGGGTACAGTTGGTGAGAAAAGTAGACACAGCAGGGTATACCCTGCTCCTTTTCGGACGTACCGGGGTGAAATTGGGCGCTGACCAATCATATGAATGCATTTACTGCTGTTAATGACTGTGTACCCAGGTGTGTCGCTTTTCGACCAGGGTATACCCTGTTGTGTCGTTTTCCCTTTTTTTTAGCAACTCGTTGACCCGCAATATTTTCCGTCGTACGTAACAGCTACGAGGCCGTTCACCCGGTGGGGTCCCTTTCGGAGCTCAAGGCTCGCCTAGGGGAAGGGCGACGCTGCTTCGCGTTCTTCCACCCCTGCCTGCCCGACGAGCCGCTGGTGTTCGTGCACGTGGCCCTGCTTCCCGAGGTGGCCGGGAGCATGGACGACATCGTAAACCGCGGTGGCTGCGGCGAGGAAGAGGAGGGGAGCGGGTGCGAGGAGGACGAGGTAAGGGCGAAGAGAGAGAGAGAGCTTTGTCGTTTTTCTGCCTCGCGGCGGGTTGTGATTGGTTGGGGATTGCAGGACTGTCGGGTTTTGCTTTTGAGGTCCGCTGTGCTCACGTACGTACCGGTGAAGTAGCGAGGCTGGGGGGGGCGTTGGCTCCTTCGGTGTTGACGTGTTGACGCCCTTGATGTTTCAGTGTCATGTACCGAAAACGAGCGTCGAACAAACCTAACGGGAAAATATGGGCGCCATAGCTTCAGAGATGAGTACAAACACTGTTAACGGTTTGTGTGTGCCCACAGGCGGTGTCCTTCTGTGTGTCGGAAGGTAGGAAAAACAAGATTCGGCTGTCTGTTGCCGCTCGTCGCTGTGTCTTGTCCGTGCATGGGCGTGCCAGGCCCGAAGCGCGGTGTTCTACTCGATCTCGGCAACGCAGAAGGGCCTTCAGGGAGTGCAGCTGGGGAACTTTCTCATCAAGAGGGTGGTGGCACAGTTGAGGGCCGAGCTGCCCCAGGTACCATTCACATTCATGCAATGCCGTCGTGTAAGTATTACGAGATATTACTATTTACCAACAGCGAAAGTTGTGAAGCATCCAAATCAACAGCACTATCATCACCAACAAGAAGAGAGTAACATCAATATTACCAGTAGCAGCAACAGGGACATCGCTCTACCCTCGCCCGTACCGTGTTGCGCCTGTTACAAGCAACTTCTCGCTGGAGCTTACCCAACGCCAACCCATTCCACCTCACGCCACGGTACTAAATATTATTTGTGCCATGGTACCGAGATATCCGCTGTTTTTGTCCGTCGCAACTTGTCTTGTTTCCTTCCTCTCTTGCAGTCTTCCGCACGACCCGTGAGCTTTGCTTCTGCCGAAAGTTGGCGTATTATACGGCAAAGGCGCAACCACCACTGCTCCCAGTGTTGATTTTGTGCTCTCACAGACTGCACCCTTCCTCTGTCTTGTGTTGCCCGTCGCCGTGGCCGACACGCTCTGTTCGCTTTGATGCGGCGCGTCCACAGCTGGAAACCTTCGCGACCCTGAGTCCCATTCCGTCGTTCCGGAGTTGGCTGGGCAAGAAGGCAAAGCACCGAGTTGCCCTGGGCGTCGACCACAGCGAGCTCTCCGGAGGTATCTGTTCTGTCTGTTGAGTTTTTTTGCTTGTTGCACCCTGTTTGGTTTTGCGTCCTGTTCCCTTCAGAAAGCATTAGGGTGTAGCGCCCCCCCTCGTTCCCCACGTCCTGTGCAATAATTGGCAGACCATGTTCAGAGAAGAGTCCACCTGGTTGTTGTTGGTGGATCAATTAGGATCATGGACGGTGCCCCCGGCACGTATCGGCGAGGATGTATGGTCAACGGTGGCGTAACGTACGAAACCACCGAACCGCTTCTCCTCCCTCCCCTCGCCTGCGTGAACATCACAACGCCGCACTAATCATCCAGCGGCTGCGGGTGTGCTTGGTTTGGTAGTTACCATCGATGCGAAGTACGCCTCCCTTCTGCTAGCCGGCGGCATTTTGCTGGTCACCTCGTCTCACTGAGGTTTTGCCTCCGCCATACCGAGATTCGCTGACAGATAGGCACACAGGCCTAATTGCATGAAACCAAACTCAAGGCATACATAGCGGCGAGATGTTCTTCGTCCAGTTTGGGAATCTGTAAAGGACTTTCCAATAAGCTTCGAAGTGTAAAATTATTGATACGTGGAAAGGCACTCCAATCGTGGGTTTAGGGACGTCATGGTCGCGTCTGGATACCGACGCAAACTCTACACTTGCGGCAGTGTAGTGAAGCCGTCCCATTTCGTGGCTGTTGCCGGATACCTCCGAGTATCTTCTGTTGAAGGGCCCCGGAAACCACCAGACACTGCCATGAAACCCCGAAGAAAGAAAACAGTTTCGATGAGCGCATTTTTGAGAAAATATAATCCCATGACCGCATATCCTTTCTGGGCTTGAAACCACCCTCTCTCGCGGTCTTGTGCTACCGTCCCTCAACAGACTCCCGTGTGCCGTTTCGGTTCACGTGCTTTGCGCCGCGCTGGATTCCATCGTTTCTATCAGAGATCCTCCTCACTGCAGAAGAAGCCGTGGCGATACTGGCCGACGTCACAGCTAACGACAACGACGGCCGCCCCCAAGACGACGTCAGCAACGACAAAGGGGGTGCTGCGGCAGCCCTCACTGCCCTGGAAGCCGACGCGCGGCGAGAGGCCGAAGCCCTGGCGGTGCTCCTTTCGAACGACGGCGTACCCGGGGCGGCGGCCGAATCGGCGTTGACGAGGCTCGCGGCGAGGTACCTCGTGAGGGAGACCGTCCGCGGGAAGATCCCCGACCCCGTGGGGAACTTTCACGTGAGGAGACTCGGAAGCTTGTCGTCGCTGTCGGGTGGTCGTTCGTTATATCATCTATCCGCACTTGAGGCAATACTTTCCGCCATAGGGCGGCGGATGTGTTTCATTCAACCTAGTTTAAAATACAGTTATGGAAATGCTTCCCCCAAACGCATAACGTAACGGACGACTCGCCCACTACCCACGACCGTATGGCGTTGCCTTGAATCATACTGTGTTTGCTGTACATGCCCATGTCGCTTGACCCGCGGTACCCATATGAGGCTTGTGGGCAGTGGAGCGAGAGGTCACAATGGGGTTTCCCGAAGACAGTGCGGCAAAGAAACAACAGCGACAACCACCCCCACTTGGAACATGTTCCGTGACATGGCAGGACGGCGAGACAATGAACTTTTTTTTGTCGATAGAACGTTGATAAAATTTAGCATCCTTCGGTGTGTTGGCATTTGAAACTGTTCCTCTTGTTCTCAGCATGTCATCATTTTCTTGGGCTCCACATTTTTATAAAATGATGGCCTGTGCTCGATGGTGTCTTTTTGAGACAGGTTTCCAACGGAGCGCGGGTAGAGCGGCTGAATTGGATGGGGGATCTCTCCTCGCGAGGCGTCAAGAACAGCTTCGGCGTCATGGTTAACTATGTGTGAGTATACTAGAGAGAGAGAGAGAGCTAGCCGAGAGAGGGCGAAATGTGGTGAAGAGGAGACAGGCGGACAGAGAGACATAGAGACAGCAAGACAGGCAGACAGATAGACGAGACAGGCAATAAGACGGACAGACAGACAGACAGAGAGGCGCACACGGCACTGACAGACGGGGCAGAAACACGCGCGTTTTTGTTTGCCCTCACGAGTTGGAGACTCCCGCGGCCGATGGAGGTGTGCTTGTGGCTCTTCGTCCCAGCTTTGGCTCACAAAGCATCCAGCGTATGCTTGGCTCCGAGGCAATTTTTAAACAACGCCCAATAGCTATGTGGATTGAGTTTTCCACCACAATTGGTGATTTTCCAAGCTTGGCTTTACCATTATTTTGTCGGTGGCTGGATTCGGAACCCGGGTTGCCTTCCACCACAATCAAGACATGCGTGCGAAAACCGGGAATTGTCCTCAACGGACGTTAGGGAGTACTCTCGACCGCCATGATCTGTCGTGTCGATCGCTGAGTTACAGCGAGCATCGCTCATCCCAAGAACGCCTCGTGCGAAAATCTCGTTTTTAATTTGTAAACTTGATCACTTCCCGCCAGGTACGATCTTTCGGAGATCGAGTCGAACAACCGGCAGTACCTCTCGAAGGGCGAGGTCCCCGCATCCAAGGACGCGCACGGGCTCGCCTGGTCTTTGCGCCGAGCGGGACACGGAAAGGGCAAGGCGGGGCAGCAACCGCCATCGACAACACCTCCTTCCCCAAGGGCAGCTTTGTAGTAGGGCGAAGCTCCTCTTGTCTCACCATGAGCGCGCTTACGTGTCGGCGGGGGTAGGTGGCAGATGGTGCCCCGTTGAGATAGCGATACCTGTAGGCGGGGATGGGCGGCGTAAGGTGACGCCGTGGGGGAGCGAGAATTGGCAACTTGTTTTCTGAATGCCTCGGACGTCAGACGGTTGGACGCTCCTGTAATCTGCAGCAACTGGTGTAGAGACCAATATGTACGCCACGCGGTATGGACAGATGCGCCATTGATATCAACGGATAACAGCTGGCTCGTCAAGATGGGCGAACGAGCGTGTGGATGGCGAAACTGGAAAGAGAATGTGGTGGAACGTCGCTCTTTCGCGGCTGTAGCTACAACAGATTTTCAGTTCGGGCAGGGCTTTTACTCCGGCCAACGTCACCTTTGGGGATCAAGAAGTCTGAGGGTCATTCCACTTTCTCACGGTAGTTCTTTTTTGCTCTCTCACTATGATGTACCCGACGTGGTATTGCACCTCAGGCTGCTCTGAAGCTCTACTAATACTATAGTTTTTTTGCGGTTGATCCAAAAACGAAGAGCTGTCGTTCGATTATCTCAGGATAGGGGATGCCTCTGCTGCTATAACACTTGCGGCGAAAACAATTGAATGAATGCACTACAAGTTTCCATGTTGGATGCTCATTCGGATTTTCCCTCCAAGAATCCAAAAATCACAAAAGAACGAACGTTGATCGTACATGAAGCAGTCATTTCGTTATCAAATCAAAAACGACAACCTTTGGCAAAAAAGTAGGCGGCACATGCCTGGCCAATATAAGAAGAGGTGCCGTGCATGCTCTGTTTGGGCAGCCAAAAAGGTGCGCGGATCGCAAAAAACAGAGCCCCCCACTCCATATCTTCACCGGTACGATCCTGGCCTTGTTGCCTGTGCCTTGACTGGTTTTACTTTCCTTCGCTAACTCATTTTCACTGTTCATTGCCGCCGCCTCGAAGCTATGCAGCGGGGCCGCCGGGCTAAGCAGAACCTACCAGCTCTTCTTCCTTCGGTAAGAGAACTGAGAATCCTCCTGGTGTTGAATCAAGCTCGGGGACCGGGTTGAAGGCCTCCTTCCTCGACCTCTTACCCCCCTTCCCCTGTCTCACGTCTCGACGTCTCGACCTACCACACTCTTGTCTTACAAAGCAGTGCTCTCGGCTGGCGGGACTGTCAATTTGGAAGGAGGTGTGTCTGAAGAGAACGCCAATTTCCTTTTTTTCCGGCAGATTATCAGCCGTCCAATCAGAGATCAGCCGCGTTTCTTTTCATTTTGTCCGCCTGTCTCCCCCCCACCCCCCCCACAAGAACGCAACCAGCAGAGGATCTACCGAGGACCGTCAAAGCACAGCAAAGTTTCCGGTTCAAACAGGACACATATCGCAAGTACCCAGTACGGTGTATCTGTCAACGCCGCTGCATGGTGATCCCTGGCGGCGAACGTCTTGCTTGAGCTCGTGTTTGGGAGGGCTCTCACGCTCTCACCCGACACGGCTGTATGCGATCGATCTCTTCCGGACGAACGGTAACCCCTGGCGGCGAAGGTCTTGCGCGCTCGTGTCTGCGAGGGCTCTCACCCGACACCGCTGGGTACGATCTCTTGTGAAGACAGAAGAGATTGCGCCCCGGGGCGTCGGGCGGGAGCCCTCACAGACACGAGCTTACGACCTTCGCCATAAGGAATCACCGTCTGTCAACAAGATATGTATCGTGTTCAGCCCGGTGCCAGGTGAGAGCGCTCGCTCACAAACACAAGCTCAAGCCCTTCGCCGCCAAGGATCACCACGCAGCGACGGCCAGCACATCTATCGCCGAGGACGGCACTGGACGCCAATGCCGCCGATCGAACCGTCCGGGTCGGGAAGGGCAGCGCCAAGCACACCGTGGCGACACGGCGGTGAGTCAGGGTTGTAGGCCACATTGTTGAGAGGTTGTCATGCACGGACGGTATCGTGTGTACGAGGAGCTCGCGTTAATTGCATATCTCGGCCAAATCCCTTGAGATACGTATGTAAGAATCGTGTCGCCACACGGCGGTGCTTGCTTGACCTTGCCCTCGGCCCGTGCGACTCGATTGGTGGCATTGGCGCCGAGTGTGACTGTAGTTGTCCTCGGCGATAGCCGTTGCCGGCCGCAGCTGCGCCGTAGTCCCCGGCGCTGGTCTCTGCCCCTGTTTATTAGAGAATATCCACACATAGACTATACAGAGAGACTTATGTACCCGTTCGAGATATTTGTGATCGGTGAGATATGCCATCACTAACACGAGCAACAGACCGGCGCTGGGGATCGCGCCGCAGCGGCGGTCGTCAAGGGTACCCTGTATCGCTGGGGGCGGCACCCGGCCCAAATTGCAATTGAACGCAGCGCAAGATGAAGCATCGTGGGGGTGCGGTGAATGAGGGTGTACGTCAGATCGATGTCGGGCTAACATGCATGGGGTACATATCCTTACACAGGAGCTCGTGTTTAGCTGCTGTAATGCGTCGGTTAATCCCCCTCCTTGAGAGAGAAAGAACAGAAATGCTACAGGCACCGCCGCTCGATCTCTCTGTACTGTAGGGCGTGCGTTCTCGTATGTATGTATCCCCGCATATGTTCTTGCGGCTTGTGGATAGTCTGGTACATCTTCTAGTTCCCTAGTCCACCTACCCCCCTGCCGAAAAGAACACCACCAGGGCTGTGTGGCGGGGAAATGGGACTCAAGGCCAGCGAGGGAAAGTGCACGGCGGCGGCGTCGGTGGCGGCAGCAGCAGGGACATGAAAATCGGGCTTTCCGGCGATGAAACGGAGGTCCCGTGCCTACTGTCATAATGAGCTTCTTCTGCCATGGAGATGGGTCAGGACTGCTGTTGCAGCAGCAGCAGCAGAAGAAGCAGCAGCAGCAGCGGCGAGAGTGGCTTCGATGGAAGGTAGTGTTGGCCCTGACCGCAAGCAATCTGCCTGTTCACAAGCAATCTGATCAGGAGATGAGTTGATCAGTGAAAGGAATTGAGAGTACTACAGTTCACAGACAAAACAGCGATGTGCATAAAATAGGCGCTAAGATGCTCTGCGCTCGTACCCTCTTACCATCGTCGGGTCGCATAAGTATGCATACGGCAACTTCAAGCACAACTTCAACAGAAATTCCAACGCACCCTCACTGAAACAACCGCTTCTAGGCGCCCCTCCCCTCTTTTCGTATCAAGTCTGGTGGGGCGACGGGCGCGACCACTGGGTCTGGGGTCCGCCACCGCCCCCCACAAGCAGCGGCTTGCAACCACTACTACTGTAGCACCCGGCGCGCAACAAGCAGACGGGGCAGTCCACGTGGGCGAAGAAGCCCACCGAGCGCCGGCAGCCGCTATTGAAGGCGGCGGCACAACGAAGACCCACATCGAAGGCACCCCCGAGGGTAAAACCGGTGGCGGCGGCGGCGGCGGCCGCCGAAGGTTTTTTACCCTTCTGGAGTTCCTTCAACATGGGTGTTGGTCGTTCCGCCGCCTTCAAGAACGGCTGCGGGCGCTCAGTGGGCTTCATCGCCCACGCGGGCTGCCCAGTCTGCTTTCTGCGCGCGGGGTTGCGGGAGGTGGTGATGGTGAGCTTCTGGCGCGGCCCAGACCTGACGGTCGCACTCGTATTCCCCCCGGTAGGGTTGCCAGGGAGAGCGAGAGAAGCTCTCCAGCAAGAAGCGACGGCCACCCAAGTGACATGAAAGAAACGTTTTTTTAGACTTTGATCTTGGTGCTGTGGGCGTTGTTGCCAGTACACCTTTGAGTCCGCACCGATCCGAGGAAAACCCACCTGGACGCATTCGTTAGCTTTGTATACATGAGTCGTGTTGTGTGCTGCGCATTGTTTGTTGTGGGTTGCGTTCTGGCACACAAACACCCCTCTCGCCTTATTGTCAGTCAGACCCCCCTGCACCTGCCTGCCTGCATGCATGCATGCCTGCCTGCTTGCCTGCCTACTTTGCGTGTGACACATGCGGCAAACTGGTTCTTCTGAACCGTAGCCGAATAACGTCAGTACCACGTGCATGTTCTGTCTTCACAGTATCCCGCCAGCCGAGTCCTTGGCATGACGTGAAAACTCAGAAACAACAATAAATATGTGTGTGTTTCTGCCCCAAGACATGTAACGCTTGCTGCGGGATCTCCGCCTCCAGCCACATGGCCTGGGAAAGTGAGGTCGGGGCACCAACGGCAGCGCGGCGGATGGCCAGGCCCGACAGACGGCCGGCAAGAGCGGCAACGGCGGGGGTGGCGAGGAGGACGGTCGCGACCACCTCTTGGGATGCGGGAGAAGGTCGCAGCAGTGCAGGAGAAGATCTTGAAACAGATCACATGCGAGGTGAATATTATTATTTTTGTTGACATTGTTCTGGATCGGCAGCAAGAGTAGCAGCAAGAATAACAGCGGTAGCAGTAGCAATAGCAGCAAGCAGCCTTCGGAGGCAGTGTAGCGATTGCCTTTATGCTGTGATGCTCAGAACACGCAACGGAGCAACCCCGAGTCGTCATGCTCGCGCTGCCTTTACGAGCCGTTTTGGTCGTCGCCCTCTCTCTTCTACTGGTCTATGTTGTGTTCCTCGATTATCGTCTAGACGCATGATATATACTCTACTGCATGTCTCTCGAGGCGCGTTGCTTGCTTCCAACGTTTGGCGATCATCTGCATTGTTTCTCTTCCCGGGGGGCGTCCTCTCCCGCACGTGTTCGCGTTTCTCGTTATCGCCCGCTCTCTCGTTTTTTCGTATTCTCTCGCCTTCTATACTTTTCTCGAGGGGACGATCTCTTTTCCTGATCGCATGCGTGGATTCTTCCACGAGAAGACGGTAGAACTCTCCCTCCGCGCTCTCCCTCCGCCTCTCGCTCCTGGCAACCCATTTTCGACCCCTTTGATTTGCGTGTCTGTGACGAGCCACTCTAGCTCTCTGTCATCGCGCAACGAGCTCACCAGCGAGAAAGAAAGAAATAAAAAAATAGCGAAGTTTT